TCTCTCTCTCTCTCTCTCTCTCTCTCTCTCTCTCTCTCTCTCTCTCCAGGGTCTTGCTATGTAGCTCAGGCTGGTCTTGAGCTCACTTTGTAGCCCAGGCTGGTCTTAAACTTGTAAGGATCCTCCTGCCTCAGCCTCGAGTGCTGGGATTACAGGCATGCGCCACCATGCCTGGCTCCCCAGAAATTTCCATGTGGTAAACTCCTACTCATGTTTCATGGCCCATCTAGTTTGTTTCTTCTCTAGAAAGCCTTCCCTGACTCCCTAGAAAGAACCCTTCTCCCCTGGAGCTACACACAGAGGGCTGATCCAACTCCCCTGCTGTACATTTATTCCCCATTTGCTATTGGTTCAAACACCAGGTGCCCATGTGGCCCAACACAGCCCCATGTCTGGGGGTCTCCAGGGCTCAGTGCTGTAGATATCTGTTTGAGGCTCCCAGCTAAAGTCCAACGGAGCACACCCTATCCCTGCTTAGGTCTGCCCCATTGTCCTGATAATCAGACGAGCCAGTGACACAGCTGTGTCACACATCTGCCAGTACAGGTGGACAGACCAAGTCCAGAGAGGGCAAGGACCTGTCTGGGGCCACACAGCAAGGCCCTGTCTGTCAATCTCCCCTCATCATCATCACCTTTTTTTCCCTCTGGGGATTGAACTCAGGACCTTGTGCTTGCCAGGCAGACAATTATGGCACTGAGCTATTTCCCCAGCCCCTCTTTTTCTTAAATTAAAAAAAAAATTTTTTTTTTAAAAATTTGATACAAGGTCTTGCTACACAGCTTAGACTTGTAGTGATCCTCTTGTCTCAGCCTAACCAGTACTGGGATTACAGGTGTGTACCACCACTCCCCTGCTTTCGCTGAAGGTTCTGGGCCAGCACAGCATGCGGCACCAGGGATCGAACCTGGGTCCTTGCGCTTGCCAGGCAGGTACTTAGACCACTGGGCTCTATCTCCCCAGCCCTCCCCTCTTCTTTTCCCGTGGATCTCCATCCCAGCTCTATCTGACCATCAACGACAATGACAGCTATCAGATGAGAGGGAGGCACTGCTCCCAACCTGTAATCCTCATCCCTAGTTGTGGGGTGAAACTAGGATGATAGCCATTGCACAGATGAGGAAACTGGGGTGCCTGGCTTACTCAGAAGCCAGATCCACAGCCAGACTACCCTTGCGCTTGCCTGGGAGGGGCAGGGGCTTGCAGGGCCCACAAGGCTGGGGGCTTAGGCTTAGGGACCAGACAGGTTACAACTGCATCCGGGGAAACTGTCTAAACCCGCGTTAGTCAGCCCTGAATGGAAAGCAAGCCTTGATCCTGACACAGCGGTGAGGCCAATCGCGTGCGTGGCAGTAAGGGCTGGGGCACCCGGGCGTTATCTGGGACAATACTTTGACCTTATGCGACTTTGGAACCTACAAAAGCTTGGGCGCATCCCCGGGAGACCCCAGAAACTTTCTGCAGCCCTGCCTTGTGTGGGCAGTTCTGCAACTCCACACCCACCCGCTCCCAGGCCCCAAACATCCCGGGTGTCCCCGCCCCAGCCCGCAGGAGGGGACTTCCGGCTGGAGGGAGCTTTCTTCGGGCCCAGCCCCCTCCTCTCGGGCTCCGAACTGGAGCGAGCGCCCATCCGAAGACGCGCGCATCTTCCTTCTCCGTCCGGCGCTCCCTCCCGCCCGCCCTACCCGCACGCACTGTGAGAGCGCCGAGACGTGGTTGAGCGCGTAGGACAGCGGGAGCGCGCTGAGCGACAGCGCCGCGGTCTTGCCGGCCAGCGGCGGGAGCTCCATGGCAGCGGCGGTGCGCTTGCTCCTCGGGACAGCGCGTCCCACTGGGGCTGCCAGGGATCCGCCCTGCGCAAAGGTCGCCCCCGGCGGCCCCAGGGCCAGCGTGTTCCCTGCGCGCCCGATAAGGCCCCGCCCCCGCTACCCTTTCACTGCCTCAGTTTCCCGCTCGGTCGGTGGAAGGCAGGAACAGGACGCTTGCGCTCAGGGGCTGAGGCTGCGTCCCGAAGGCAGCGGAACGCGTCCCCTAGGATTCCTTCCACTTGTGCCTTCTGTGTAGCCCAGCCTCGTCCTCCAACGTTTTTTTGGGTGCTGGGTTTGAAACCTAGACTCCATGCATGCTGGGCAAACGATCTGCCCACGAGCTCCACCCCATCTCTAAGGGGGCCTTCTACCCGGTACCCTCGATGCCACAGCCAGCCTGGGCTCAAGTGCGCTGACGCAGTACAGGACCTTCCAGACAGGAGCCACAGCGACCAGGCGGTGCAGCTCAGGGTGGGGGCCTGCACGTGAGGGAGAGTGGGGCCAGGGTCTTAAGCGATGGGTGCGGAGATTAGGCCCAGTCAAGGGGAACAGAAGGGAGCCTCGGGCTCAGAGCAGAGCAGCCGAAGTGCGGACCAGGTGGAAAGGCTGCCCCAGCAGCTGCCCAGGACCGCGGCGGCAAGTGGGGTCATCTATGTCGCCCCCTCCAGTCTGTGGACTCGTAGCCACTGCCCACCTGCCTCCCGGCCTGGGGACATTTCAAACTCTTTCCCTGGACGGCCACGGCCCCGCGTCTGAGCTGCACCCTGAAAGGGTCTGACTTCTGATTCAGCCTGTCCCTGGGCGCCGGTCACCTGGGGGTGAAGTTCACGTTCCCGGTTCCCGGAGGCGGAGCCCCACCCCCTGCTTCCGGTCTGCAAGCAGGCTGCATGTTCTTCCACCCTGTGGGTCCCTCCTCCCTGCCAGGGTGTGGTGTCTGTGCCAGGCGCCAGCTGGCACCCACCCTTGGGCAGCTTGTACCCACACGGGCATTGGAGGGTTCATCTTGCCCGGCGTGGGGCAAGTCTGTGTCCTGCTGTTACTGGGGCTTAATGGAGAGGCGATGGCAGAAGCTGCCTGGAACCAAGCCCAGGACTCCCACCCCCTCCCTCTCTGGGTGCCCAGAGCCACCCGTGACTCTGGCCCGCTGCTCTCGGCAGCCTCTGCACATAAGCACCACTCATCACTTTGCCCCGCCAGCCCAGCACCCAAAGGAGAAACAGGATAGCTCCGCCCCTGCCTCTGCTTAGCACCGTCTACGACCTCCCAGTCCTCAGGCCCACTGTGACATGTCCCATGCCTGCTTCACCCTGGCTGGATCCCCTTGGCCATTTCCATAGGTGGGGAAGCCGAGACTCAGAAGGGCAGCCAGGGGACAGAGCTCCTCCATCTGGTTCACAATGTGTGCCCAGGGTCTGCTGAGCGACTGTGTGGCCTTAAGTGGAGTCCCTGTGAACTGGGAGACCCTGGGGCCCTAGAGATCAGAGAGCTGGTGAGAATTTGCATTCCTAGGTCACCCCTTATGGGACAGAGCAGGTGCAGCAGATCCTTAGGGATGGGGACCCTGCAGGTCTTGACAGTAGCCTGGTGCATCCCTCCACCCTCACAGCTGTCCCTGGGAGGAAAGGACAAAAGTGTGCCAACAGCCCCAGCCCAGCAGGCTGAGGGGCCTGAAAAGCACCGCTCACACCCAGTGTGGCCAGGTGCTGGAGGTTATGCCTCCACCTTCTGGGCTTACAGCTGGGGAGCTGCTGGCCCTGTACCTGGGGCAAGTGCTGCCCACCTTGGCCTGCTCAACTGCTCCCTACAGAAAGCAAGGGCCAAGCAGTGTCCCACATTCCTGCGGTGCGGCGGTCTGTCAGCCATCGTGTGACCCCTCCAGCCCACCGACCGTGAAGGTGCTAGTGGCAGCGGCAGGGACCAGGCTGTGCAGGCGCGCACTGGGACTTTAATGTGCAGCAGGGCTGCAAGGGTGACAGGCACGGCGCGGATGCTCCAGGCAGGTGGCAGGACACGGTGGCTCCCGTCAGTAATACGGCCGCCTCGGGTTGTTCTGTGGAGACCAAGAGGTCAGGTTAAGGCGCACGGTGCTGGGGGCAAGGGCCCTCGGCGCCACCCTCCCGGGGACCACTGTGGGGGCTGGGAGGCCCAGGTTGCGCACCAGGGGGTTGGGCCGGAAGCGGTACGCCAGCATCATCCGCTTGCGGAAGGCCTCGTACTCATCGTCCTCCTTGGAGAGCTCGGCTGGCCGGTCAATGCCGAAGCCCGCGCCATCTACTGCTGTGGTGCCCCTGCCGGCAGGGGAACAGGCAGTGTGAGCAGCACGGCCACCTGGGGGCGGGGGCTCCCCCAGGTTGGGGGCCTCCCTGAGGGTCAGGGAAGGAGGGACCTGGGTGGCCATCCGCAGCAGCTGCACTCACTTGTTCACCGGGTTCTTGATGCCCTGGCCCTCGGAGCCTAGCCCCTCGCCTTCCTTCCAGCCCATCTTCATGAGCATTTGGTAGCCGATGTTCTCCACCGTCAGCTTGAACTCCTTGTACTCGGAGTAGTCGGGCTCACGGCCTTCCTGGGGGCAGGGGAAGGCAGCGTCAGTCCAGCCTCACACACCCCAGCAGGCCCAGCTCTCCCAGAGCCATCAAGGGAGCTGGGGCAAAAGGGGCAAAGTGGGCATGGCCGTCCACAGAAAGACTAGCACTCCCTCCTTAAGAAAAGCGCGTGAAGGGCCGGAGAGATGCTCAGTAGAATACGCGCTTCCCTGGCAAGTGCAAGGGTCTGAGTTCAATCCCTGGTTCTGGGGGGAAAAAAAGTGCGTGGGCTGACAGCACTTTGTCCTTGTGGTATTTGAGACAGAATCTTGCTACTACTGCCTAGGCTGGTCTTGGATTCAGGCTCCAGTGATCCTCTTGCCTCTTCCACATGGTGGGGACAGCTGAGTGTGGGAGTGCACACCTGCAGTCTTGAGCACTGTGGCAGGCTGAGGCAGGGGATTGCAAGTTCAAGTCCGCCCTCCACAACTTAGCACCTTGGGGAGGAGGTCCATTGCAAGGCATTTAAGATGGGCCGAGGACACAGGTCTGTGTACAGTCCTGGGCTCCACCCTGGAACCACACACAAAAGGAGTGTGTGGGATGACAGGCACGTGCCTTGCCCAGCTGGGAACAGATGCTGAGTGCTCAAGGGCTGAGGCCAACACCTACTGGGCTGGGACTCTGGGGGACAAGCACTGCTGGGGGGCCCACGTGTGGCGTGCCCCAGCCATGCTGGCCCGCATGCTGAGACCGGCTCACCTTAAGGGCCTTAAAGGTCTCCATGAACTTCTCCAGCTCATCTGGGGGGAGGAAGTCCCCGATGAAGTGCTTGCCCCGGCCCATCTTTGTCAGCTGCTCGGCCCACTCTGCGGGGGGACCAGGGTTAGTGGGGGGTGGGGGCTGCGACCTCAGGGTCCCCTGTGCACACGGACAGCCTGCACAGCGGCCCCATACTCCCATTCACATTGGGAACTTCCTGCCCTGCGCACCCCGCGTCTTGTCCATTTCCATGCGCCGCAGCTGGTGCTCCCAGGTGCCCAGCTCACTGTCCACCTCCTCGTCGCTGTCGTAGCCATGCTGGTGCTGCTGCAAGGCCTTCTCCCACAGCAGCTGCATGTCTTGCATGGCACGTTTATGCTGCATGATCATGTCATACATCTGCTGCATCTGCGGGGGCCACGGGGGACTGCTCAGTGTGTGCCCCACAGTGCGTCCTGCCCAGGGTTCCTCAGCTGCGGGGTTGGGCCCCAAGGACAAGCAGCCCGGCTCCCAGGGGCCCTACCTCTTGCTGCTCCTTCAACTGCTTCTTCTGAGCATCTGACAGCTCTGTGACACCCACGAGACCCACAGGCTTCCCCTTCTCATAGCCAAGCCCCTTGAGGTCCTGCACTGGAGATGGGAGACAACAGCGGTCAATGGCACGCAGGCCAGGGTGGAGCTCATGAGACCCAAGGCAACCAGTGCTGGTTCTGGAAGGAGATGGGCCTCAGGGCTCGGTGATCAGCGCCTTGGCTTCTAAGAGGGCCTTGGATGCTACGCCGGTGCTGCAAGGCACACTAGCCTCCCATGGGCTAGAAACCCCCGTGTCACCTCAGCTGCAGACGTCGAGACTATACCTAGAGGCTTGGGCCTCAACGTCACACAGCTAATGGGCAGGGACTCTACAAGGCTTGGAAGGCAGCCTTGTGGAGTGGCTGACACTGAAGCTGGCTGGAGCCCAGGCACTGGGCTGCAGCCAGCAAGGCCCAGCACTATAAAGATGCCGCAGTGGCCCAGAACGGTGGAAACACCCAGCCTTGAGGTGGCTTCCTGGGAAGAAATGAGGCAGAGGGTGAGAGGAGTGGCGTTACCTGGTCGAGGGGGCTTGGCTGTGCCCTGAGCAATCATGGAGGCTGCCAGCTCCGAGCTCCCTGGAGATCGATCGATCAATCGATCGATCGATCTCTCTCTCTCGTGCGTGCGCACATGCGCGCATGTGCGCGCGCACACACACACACACAGACACAGTGTGTGAGTGAAAAGAACTGTGTATAGTTCTTCCTGGCCCTGTCCTGGAAGCTTTGGGGTGTGTGTGTGTGTGAATGAGAGAGTGAGTGGGGGGGTAGGGAGGTAAGAGAAGAGAATTGTGTATGGCTCTTCCTGGCCCTGGAAGCCTTGGGGGTCCTCTCATCCGAGGTGGCAAGGCTGCCCAGCTCCCTGGGGATGTGGGCCTGGGATTCAGAGCCCATGCTGGAGTGGGGCGATTCGGTGTCAGCGGGTGCCTGCCTGGGCCTCTGAGCTGCGTGTACTCAGACCCCGCGCAAGTGTGTTGCACCTGAGTAGCCAACAAGGTGTCTGAGTCCCAGCTACTGGTGCCCACCAGAACCCCTGAGCCCTTTAAGGCAGTCCTTGGATCTACCTTCAGGGCAGCCCCTCTACCCCTGGAATAGCTGAGGTCCCAGGCTAGAAAGGCCCACATTCCAGCTGCAAGTCTTGGGTGAATCATTCATGTCTCTGGGCCCTGGTTACAACTGGGCCATGGTGTCCAGGAAGGGAGTGTGTGGGATGCCCCAGGCACCCGCTGGTTTGTCAAGCTGTGCTTCCGGCAGCCAGCAGGAGAGGCTGTCACCGCCTGTCCTCATCTGCAGGAAGATGGCACCCCTGCGGGCTGGGGGGGAAGCCACCAGGGAGAGGCCACGGTGGGCAGGGAGTTGTCCCTGCGCCGTTATTACAGAGGGGACTGGAAAACCTGGATGCGGTGGGGCTGTGCTTCTTGGTGCCCACTTTCTGAGCTTCCTGTGACAGAGACGCAGCAGTGCGCCTGGAGCTTAAGACTGGTGACAAGATCTGCCACCACGCCATGGCTGGGAGTTCAGCTCCAGAGGCACAGAACAGGATAAAAGGGGAAGGATGGACTAAGATTATTGCAGGCAAAAGTCACCAAGAGAGTGAGACCCCTACTTTAGGGACAGACAAGACAGACTTCAAGCCAAAAAGGTCATCGGAGCTGGGAGTGGTGGTGCACTCAGGAGGCTGAGGCAGGAGGACCTCTGAGTTCAAGGCCAGCCTGGGTTACGTAAGTGAATTCGAGGCCAGCTTGCACTACACAGCCAGAACCTGTTTCAAAATAATAACAACAAAGCAAAAAGAAAGGCCCCCAAAAGTCACTAGAAACAAAAGAGAACTTATATTCTAATACAGTTGGGTGTGGTGGTGCATGCCTGTAATTCCAGCACTTGGGAGGCTGAAACAGGAGGATCGCTGTAAGTTCAAGGTGAGCTGGGGCAACTTAGTGCCTTCAAGACTAGCCTGGATTACACAGTGAAACCTGGCTCAATCCCCACACCCTAAAAAAAAAAAAAAAAAAGAGGAAATTTGCAGCTATAAGTACATACACTTAAAAAAAAAAAGGCAAAACTGATCATCTGGGCTGTGGTACAGTACACACCCAGCAAGCACAGGAGGCTCCAGGTGCCATCCCCAGCACAGCAAAAGAAACTGAAATTACTAATACAAAATACATAAATTTATAGACATTTTAGAAATAAAAAAGAAACTATAATTATGCTAACAACAGCAAACAGAACCCAAAGGTAAGAGAAAGGAAGTAATGAGAGAGCTGCAGGGGAATAAATGAAATAGGGAACCAAAGATGAAGTCAATGAGACCAAAAGGTAGGCCTTTGCAAAGACCAACAGGGCCGGGGAGACAGCTCAGCGGTGAAAGGGCCTGCTGGGCAAGCACGCGGTCCTGAGTTCAGTCAAAAGATCACAATCTTTTTTTTTTTTTTTAAGATGACAAATCTTTAAAGAGGTTAACTAAGAAAGAAGAGTGTTGATGACTAAAATGGAAAAAATTATCAACCAAGGACTCCAAGGAAGTCCGATAGATAACTGCATAACAACTCAGACAACCTCGTGGAGAGAACACAAGAGCAACTGAAAGCAACGCAAGAGGGAACCAAAGACCCTATCCGGCCTGCTAATGAGGCTGCCTCCACACTCGCACCTCTCCACAAGAAGGTGCCCGGCCAGATGTCCACCACACACTGAACAGAAGCAGCAGCACCAGGGGCCAGGGAGATGGCTCAGTGGAATAAGCGCTTCCCTGGCAAGTACAAGGGCATGAGTTCAATCCCTGGTTCCGTAAAAAAAAAAAAAAAAAGAAAGAAAGAAAAAAGAAGTGACTAAAAAAAAAGCAGCAGCAGTACCAACTCTTCCCCCAAACCCTAACAGGAAGGCAGCGCTACTTTCCTGCATGAGACTAGTACTACCCTGATGCCAAAGGCAGACAGACGGTACAAGAAAACCACAGCCTGGTATTCCTTATGAACACAGGCACAGAATGTCTTCATACAGTACTGGGAAAACAAATTTGACAGCCCATTAACAGGGAGGGTCTGGTAAGGCACAGGAGGCTGGGGATAGAACCGCTTGATAAATCTGGAATAGAAGGGATTTCTTCAAAACACACAGGTCCTGGTGGGGGTGGCTCCATGGCCGCTGCGTGACTGGCACTTGGGGAATGCTGGCTCCATCCCAGCCAGTGATGAGAGCCTGGCTGCCCTCCCTCGAGGGTCAGGCCAGGTGGAGATGCCTACTTTGGCCACAGGGAGTCACCACAGTTCTGCAAATCTAGCCAGAGCAATCAGGGAAGAAAAACCAGTAAGGGGAGACCAGGCAGATGGCTCAGTGGAATAAGTGCTTCCCTGGCAAGCGCAAGAGCCTGAGTTCAATCCCCAGTTCTGGAAAAAAAAAAAAAAAAAAAAAGAAAAAGAAAAGAAGAAAGAAAGAAAAGAAAAAGCAGTAAGGAGTATCCATATTGGAAAAAGAAAAGCAAAACTTTGTCTATAAATGACACAATCGTGCATGTAGAAACTCAAGAAAACTACAAAGTCCTGTTGAGAAAAATTAAAGACAAGAAAAATAGATGGAGTGGTATCTCGTATCCACAGAGCCTAAAGGTGTCACTGTTGCCCAGTGACCCACTGGCCTCTGCATACCCAGCAGAGATGCAGACAGTATCTGCAGATGAAAAGCCCATCTGAAACTCATCTGGCACCCAGGGAGTGGCTGGTCGCAGAGTGAGCCCTTGCCCAGCACGAGCTGGGCCCTGGATACATCACCGGCTACAACAATGCATCCACCCACCCACCTGCTTACCTACCCATCCTCACATCCACCCTCACATCCATTCATGCTCCCACCACCCACCCACACACCCACCCGCTTAACTACTTATTCTCCCATCCTCCCATCGTCCCATCCATCCATCCATGAGTAAAAGCATTTGGAAACTCAAAGGACCCGAGTTGCCAAAATAATTTTCATTAAGTTGGAAGACTCGTATTCCTGTTTTCAAACTACAAAGCTAGGGGCATCAAACAGTACGTTAGTGTAAGGACAGACACCGACATCGTATCAGAACAGAGATTTTTAAAATAAGCCTATGTCTTTGGTGAGTGAATTTTTACCAATGTGCCATTTGATAGAAGAAAAAAACATTTGTTCAACAAATGTTGCTGGCTGCCAGCCCTGCCCCTGGGGCGCTTTGAGGCAGTGATTGAGATGGGGTGTGGCGGCGTGCGCCTGTAATCCCTTGGATTTCAGCTTGGGAGGCTCAAAACAGGAGAATCACTACGAGTCCAATCTAAATATGAGACCCTGTAGACCCTGCCATAAATTCATTTAAAAAAAAATGCTGCTGGGAAAAAAGGATACCTCTGTGCAAATGAAGCTGGCACCTTTATATCACTCACAAGGACCTAAATTTAAGCACTGTAATGTAAAATTCACAGGCAGCAACAACAACAAAAGAGAAAATTAGGACTTCATTAAAACTTCAAACTTTCCTGGCCTCTAAGAACCTTTTTTTGAGACAGGTCTCACTATGTAGTTGAGGCCTTGAACTCAGAGTTACTCCTGCCTTAGCCTCCCCAAAATAAGAAAAACCATTTGCACATCATCTGATGAGCTGCCACCAGAATATATAAAAAACTACAACTCAACAACAGACAACCAACTCAAACTCTAATTGGGCAAAGGACTAACACAGACACTGCTCCAAAGTGGCTATATTAGGGGGCAGGGAAACAGCTCAGCAGAACAAGCGCTTGCCTGGCAAGCATAAGGGTCTGAGTTCAATCCCCGGTTCTGGGGGGAAAAAAGTGCAAAGCGGCTAGGTGGAGAGCCTGTGAAGAGGACAGGTGGCTAGTGTTATTAGTTACCAAGGAGATGCAGATGGGGCTCTGAGGACTACCTCCTGCTGGCTGGGATGGCTGCCATTAGGAAACAGAGGGGTGTGGTGGTGGCTGATGACCAACATGGGAAGCCCGGTACCTATCACCAGCTGGTCAGGGAAAAGAAGAAGGGGCGTACTAGTACACTTATCTGTACTCCCAGCCTTTTTGAGACAGGGTCTTGCTATCTTACCCAAAGTAGCCTCCAGCCTGCGATCCTGCCGCCTCCGCCTCCCAAGTAGCTGGGATGACAGATCTTTGCACAACACCTTGCTCGGACTTACGCCATTTTTGTCTGGGACCTGAGCATCCCATATCTGGCACCCACGGGGGTCCTAGAACCAATTCCTGAGGACAAGGGACACACACACACACACTTACAGGCACACACATATACCTGGTGCAACCAGGTTGCAGGTGGAGCGCTGCTGTGGCACATGCTACAGTACCACCCGATTGGCAGAGGCCAGACTCACCTGATAGGGGTGTGGGAGAGGCGTCCACGTCCCTCTGCACCAGCTCAGCAGGTGGTAGCTCCACCTTGTCCTCTTCAGGGCCCCATCGGCTCTTCCGCTTTCGCTTGGCAGTGGCCGTGGAGGCTGAGGCTGGCTTACTGGGGATGGCTTGGGCCGGGGGCATGGCAGGTGCAGGGACGGCTGGGGCAGGACAGGCGGCGGCTGGGGGTGGGGCCCCTGCCAGGGTGTCAGGAGGGGACCTGCGCCTCAGGCCGAGGTCAGGCGCTGTGAGGGTGTTGGGGGAGCCAGCCTTGGCTTTCCGGAACTCCTCCAGCTTCTGCCGGTAGTATCTGTAGCCATGGCTGTTGGGTTCATACAGAAAGCTGTGGGGACAAATGTGGGGACAAGGTCAGTAGGCCCCAAGCATGAGGGTCCCTTCAGGCTGTGGTCTCTACTACCGCCTCACAACTGACCAGACTCAAGAGTCTGGTGGGCCTGGCACGAGGAGCATGGTGAGGTGCCATGGCCTCACCACTGACTTGCTTTTGAGCCAGACGCCATGCCAAGCTCCCCACCCTCCTGCTGCAGCCTGACTACCAGGAGCTACAGTCCAAGCTTTTTTTTTTTTTTTTTTTTTTTTTGCAGAACCAGGGATTGAACTCAGGCAAGCGCTTGTTCTAAGCCATCTCCCCGGCCACTCAACTTTTTTTTTAATTTATTTATCTATTCATTTGTTGGGGGGGGGGGGCCAGCTCAGCCCACCAGGGGGCGGGGCTGGCTGGCATGTGGTGCTGGGGGATTGAACTTGCTAAACTTGTTCTAAGTAGGTGCTTTAGACCACTGAGCCATCTCACCAGCCCATCAACTTTTTTTTTTTTTAAGACTATGTCTCAATAAGTAACCCAGGCTGACCTTGAACTTATGATCCTCCTGCCTCAGCCTCCTGAGTAGCTGGTATTACAGGTGTGTGCCACCACCTGGGTCATAGGTCAAACGTGACCCAGTGAGGCATCTTTGTAAAAATTAACAGAGAAAAGTAAAGCAATGTGCAGGTCCGGCACAGAGGTGCATACCTGTAATCCCATCTACTCGGAGGCTGAGGCAGGAGAAGTACTTCTGCCCAGGAGTTCAAGGCTAGCCTGGACAACACAGGAGAATCTGTCTCTCGAAATAAAAACCCCACAAAGGTTTCAGAAGGGCAAAGAGCATATGGCTAGAGCTGAAAAGACACCCACAGTTCAACGATTTCAGACAGATAGGGCACAGGCCCACCCTCCTTGCCGATGTGCTCACGGCTGAGTGCCCTGTCAGGAGGCTGGGTGGTGGGACGTGGCCTTTGAGGCACCTTCTTGTCCCAGTCCTTCCCTCTCTGCTTTCCCTGGCCCTCTCTGACATCCGTCTGCCAGGATGCTCCTGCCTTGGAGCTGGCTGGCTTCAGACCAAATCCTCTAAGCCCGAGAGCCAACACCCCTCTCCTCAAGCTGTGGATGTCTGGTTTCATCCAAGTACTGAAGTGAACAGACCCATTGCTGAGCCAGGCCAGGGAAGGCAGCAGGAAGCAGTGAGGCCCTCTGGGGCCCTCAGCTGCAGCAGTCCTGCCAGCGGGGGCCACAGCGTCCACCTTAAGTCCAGGGCTGGCAGACTGCACCCTGCCCAGAGCTCAGGGACACTGTGGCTCTCTCCAGCCAGTCTGCTCTGTAGTGCAGGTTCACCTCAGTCTATGCTCGGTCCTACTCATCTGATGTGTTTGGATTTCTTCACACATGCCTCATTCAAGCAGACACAGCCGCCTTTCCCACATGCTTTGGTTTGGGCGGGCTCTGCCCCCACCAATACTCAGATGAGGCGGAGACCACACTGTGGGTCTTGGGAAGGGGTAGGGGAGGGAGGGGCCTCCAGACCGCAGGCAGACCCTGGCAGGCTGAGCTGCTGGACCCTGTGGTGTGAGATCTGGGCGCCCAGAAACACAAGGTGAGGCGCCTACCACCGAAAGGCCCATGAAGGCTCAGGAGCTGTGGGAGGGCGGGGACACCAGGGCCTCTGGAAGCTGTGCAAGCATGTGTGTGCACTGGCCTTTCTGGGGACTGCAGCTGCCTGGCCCCCCAACCGCCTGCCAGAGACGGACTGACTGCAGTGTGCATGGAGAGCCCGCAGGCCCGCGGCCATCCACCTTCCCATTTTGGTCTACAAGCGAGCAGAAAGCACTCCCGTCAGGTGCTGTACCACGCTGTCCCAGGTATGTGTTCTGCGTCAACTTTCACCACAGCTCTGCTGATGAGCTGGGCACCCACCATCGCTGCCCCTGAGCAGGCAGAAGCCCGCACGGGAGGGCCCAGGGCCGCCTGAGCCCTCGGCATCCCAGCTGTGACACAGGACGAAGGCTGGGGGCTGGGGACCTCAGGACAAAGCCACTGGGCTCAGGCCTTGGATGGAATCCTGCAACCTCATCCACTTTGTCTGCCAGAGGTTTCCGACCAGTAACCGAGGACAGAGAGGGCAAAGAAACTAAGCCTCTTAGTCATAAAAGCTCAGTTACATAAACAAAAGAAAAAACTCAATGATGCAGATGGCACTGGCCAGTCTACAGGTTTGGGGTTACTCATCTTAGACCCTCAGCTGGGTGCGCCTGGACTGCTCATAACCCCAGCACTCTGGGAGGCTGAGGTAGGAAGGTACCAAGTTTAAGTACTGCCCCGCCAACTTAGTGACTTATTGAAACCTGTCTTAAAATTAAGAGTAGCAGGGCAGGGTGTGATGAAAGGCAAAGGACCTGGGTTCCAGCCCTAGGAAAGCCCATTGAAGACTGTTAGCCCTAGAAGCATGGACCTGTGACCCGCACATCAACAGCCTTCAGCACAAACCCAGGACCTGGGACATGGGGTCACGGGCTGCTGGGCACCTGCCACAGGGAGGACCTCCTGAGTCACTGAGCACAGGCCCTACCTGTTCCCAGCCCCAGGTCACTAACTCCTGGCAGCTGCTCACCCTGCTGGCCTGCTGGCTGCAGCCAGGCCACGTCTGACCACCCTGGCTGGGGTCAGGGGACCCGCACTGTGGCACCTGTGCACAGCGCCTGGGCCTCTACCCTTCCCCCTGCAGAGCTGCTCCTCCAGGGGCCCTGAGCACAGCCATAGGCAGGGACGCCAGCCCCACCCAGCAAGGCTGGGGCTGCTGCCACTGGGCCTGCTGCCTCATACAAACTCAGAGGTCCTTAAGTGTAAAGCACCCTCTAAGGCCCCCGAGAGCCTTGCCTGAAACAGGGAGCAACAATCCCCAGGGGCCACTGACCTCCCACTCGCAGAGCAGGCATGAGCCTTCTGGATGGATGATCATGCCTGAGGAGCCAGGCCCACCCTCAGGGTTGAGGGTGCATTTGTAGCTGGGGTCTGCCTGTCACGGGGCCACTGTGAGCCCCACACACTGGCAGGGTGCTCTGTCCTTAGAATCACCATATCCCCTGACAATCCCCTTACCTGAAGAGAAATTCTTTTTTTTTTTTTTTTTTTTTTTGTGGAACCTGGGATTGAACTCAGGCCCTTATGCTTGCCAGGCAAGCGTTTATTCTACTGAACCATCTCCTCAGCCCATACCTGAAAAGAAATTTTTTTTTTTTTTTTTTTTTTTTTTTTGTGACAATCCCCTTATGATAAACTGGAGACCCCCAAAACAAAGAACAAACAGTGTCAGGAAAGAGCCAGCCCCAAGCCGGAGGAGTACTGCTGGACATACTGCAGCAGCTCCCCACCCTGACCAGTGGCCCTGGCATGCCTCTGCATTTCCACTCATGAGCTTAGCCTGGCCTAGCCAGGGGCTGCCACCTGTCACAGTGGGAAAAGGCAGATGCCCACAGGACACTGGAACACCCAGGCCCCAAGGCACCCACATACTGGGTTTGGCGACACCCCCGAAGCCACTCAGTAAATGCCTGTGAAGGACAGAGCCTCCCGCAGTGGGGTCCCTGTGTCCTTGGGCAACGTGAGGTCCGGATAAGGGCGCCCCTTACCTGAAGGCCTGGTTCTCACGGTTGTTCTGGAGGGCGATGGTTTCTACCTCGGGACCCCCATCTGCTATGAACCTGGCCAGCTTTTCTGCAAGATTCTTGACCTCTTCGTCCTCTGGGGGTGAAACTTTAAGCAGGCTGTCAGTACTGAGCTCAACTCACCACACCCAACAGCCTAATTCCTGCTAAGAGCCCAGGGCAACGCGGGGGCAAGTGTTGGGGCAATGCAAAGAGAAACAGGCAAACGGGAAGCCAGTTACTGCACTGGGACCAAACCAGAGTCAACACAACAGCACACCTGAGCCCCACCCCAAGGGCTCCACCCCCAGGGCCCCACCCCAAGGGGCTGTGAAGGCTGGAAGCTGGAGCTACTGCCCTGGCTTTTCCCCAGGGGCCGCAGGGTGGTGGGGAGAGAGCAGGGACAAGGCTGCAGAGCATGGTGAGCCAACTTCTGCTGCCCTGCAGCACCTGGCTGGGGTTTTACACCCTGAAAGCCAGGGATGGCCCAGCACCCCCAGCTCCCCTGAGCTCACCCACCCATCTGCCAGATGCCTCTGCCCACACCCTGCCCCAGCGGCAAGCACAGCTCTGAGAGCCCAGCTCCAGGGCATGGCCCAGCCCTCCCAAGTGCCCTGCACTTTGCTCTTCTGGGCACTGGTGGAGGGTGATATCACCGCATTGCCAGTATCCCTGCTGCCCAGCAGGGCATTGCAGGAGGGGAGCCTGGTGCTGCTGCTGCAGCGCCACTGCACCTCAGGACACCTCCCCAGAACCCCTGCCCTCCTCCCACCTACCTCTCGGAGGGGCTGCCTGAGACCTCTGAGCCTCCTTTCTTATCTCAGCCACCTTCTTTCTGTAGTAGAGGAATTCCCTGCTATTCTTATCATGCAAAAACCTGGAGAGGAAGAGATGTGAGGAGACAAGGATGAACTTCGGGGCCTGGGACCCCGCACGCGCGGGTAGGCAGCTTCTCCCATGCAGAAGCCACGGAGCCCTGGTGGCCTCGGGTGTGAAGCCACGCGCTCAGCTCAGTGCCAGCAGGCGCCGGGCCTGGGCACCAGGACAAGTCCACAGACACACCGACACCGTGCAGCGAGCGCGCCTTGATACTCACGCGAACGCCGGGTTATCCTTGTAGTCCTCCATAGCTACTTTCTCTAACTCGGGGCCTCCTTCTGCCACAAAGCGGGCCAATTGCTCTATCACTTTCCGAGTCTCGGCTCCCTCTGGGGGTGAAACTTTAAGGAGGCTGTCAGTACTGGGGTTCCACTCCCACACCCCACAGTCAATAGGCACACTCGCGCTACAGACCAACGACAGAGGGGCGGGGAGCAGAGGTGACAGGCCGAGGTCGCCAAGTCCTGATCCAGGCACAGAGCATCAGCAAGGGGTTCGAGGGCCGCGGGGCCCGAGTCCGTCCCTGGGGTGCAGGGGGTTTGTGCGGAACTGTATCCGGCCTCCCCTGCTTGTCTGAGTTTTGGGGGTGGTGGTGAAGGGGAAACGCTTAATTCTTTCCTTTATTTGCCAGTTTTCAGTATAACACATCAGTTCCCTTCCATCCTTCAAAGGTGCCAAATCCTCCTTTACAATTAGCATTACGAACTCTGACACTGGGTGGGTTTCAATGCACTGCCATCAGCGTCCTCACAGAAGCTCCGTGGCCGGCGGAGCCTCTTCCGGCTGGCTCCCAGAGCTCCAGGGTCATCTCACACACTTCCTGCCCACACCTAGAGCCAGCCAGCTCTCCAAGAAGTCCTGGCTTCCGTCAGTGAGAAGCTGCTCCAGACCATCTGGGCGCTAGGCTGCCCGCGGCAACGGGCTTAACCATTATCTCAGGGCCTTGGCAGGGAACAGAGCTATAAAGATATATTTTTATACATGGATTAGCCTCCCCATCTGAGCCACGTAGCACTTGCGTCTGCATCTCTTGCCGGCCTGTCTGAGGCTAGTCTGCCAGCCGCTCTACAGATCACATCCCTTTTGTGGAACTCACAGGAGAAATTTCTCATCATCAGCTGGTAGGATACCTGGCAATCAAACTAGGTGCTGCATCTCTAGTGATGTAGTGACCTTTTTTAGGGGTGAGGAATGGGGTGGGGACAGGGTTTCACCATGTGATCCAGGTTGGCCTTGCACTCATTCTGTAGCCCAGGCTGGCCTTGGACTCCCATGAATCCTCCTGCCTCAGCCTCCTGAATGCTGGGATTACAAGCATGCCCCACTATACTCGGCTTCTAGCTCTCTACAACAAATATTCGTCTGCTGCTTTGCTGCTGTGGGGCTCATGGGGTCTGAGGCCAGGGACATGTGGCCTAAGGAGGACTCTGAGCCCCAGGGCATCCTGCACCTGACTTCCCCAGCCTCACACTCCTCCCATGGCCCAACAAGAACCATCACCCTGCTGCTGGTCTAGAAGTAGGGCACTTGTGAAGCCATATCAACAGGCGACTGACACAGGCCTAACAGGCAGGGTGCGGCCCCGGCTGCCAGCTCACAGCGGTGACACAGGGCCTGGCTGGCTCCTGATGGCTGCAGTGGCACGGCACCTCAGGGTCCCCAGTCAGCCCTCGCTGTCAGGGGATGGACTGTGCACCCAGGCTTCCATGTGGCTCAGGGCCCATTAGGCACACACACAGGCCAGGTCCCCAGGAGTGCTTGCGGGTGCTCTCTACCCTCTGCCGTCACCAAGGACCATCCTGTCCCCAGGAAGAAACCACATCCTCAGCCTGCACACCTACCCCACTGGCCCAGCTTGGCAGGGGCAGTGGTCCCTATTTTGTGTCAGAGGATGAGGGACATAAGGACACCCTTTTCCACTGCTGCCACAAGACGGGCCACACTGGTCCATTTGCTGCTCCACCCCCCATGCCCAGGGCAAAGCCCTGGCCTGCTGTCCAGAGTTGCCAGGCTGTTCCCCATGTTCTGCAAGGCCCAAAAGAATCCACCCTGGCCAGCAGCTCAGCCTGGAGGCCTAGGGACCACAGATGCACCTGGGCAGCCACAGATGGAGGAGAGGAAGAGGCAGCAGCTCTCCCAACTTACCTTTGATCTCCAGCCACTGCTCATAGTCTTCCTCCTCATCCTCGTCAGGGGCCTGGAAGACACTCGGGCGCTGTGCCACAGGCAGCTGCTTGGCATGTGAGTAGTTCTTCACCTGGCCCAGAGGGCTGCCCAGCCCCAGGCCTGCCCGCTTGCTCAGCAGCAGGGGCCTCTTCGTGGTGCTGACACTGGGGGTAGGCGCACTCGGTGTGGCACTGGGGGGCGGGTCTTGGGGTAGAAGGAAGGAAGCATGCTCAGGTCTGCAGCATGCATTGCCCCTTCCCATCCAACCAATGCTGCAGGCCCTCCTTCCCCACTCAGGGACACAGCTGCACTCACAGAGGCCACCTGGTTCTGCAGATGAGGACACTGAGGCTGTCAGAGCTCCCCAGCCAGAAAAACAAGGAGGCCAGCCTTGCCTGGCACACACCGTGCCAACACAGCAAAAGCTGGGGATTAGCCAGCCCCTCTGGATTAGACCCAAGCTCCAGCCCAGCTCAGGGGCGTCCCCAGCCCGGCCTCGAAGGGCAGGTAGGTGGAGACAGCCTTGGGGGATGGCGCTCACACAAGTCCTCTCCGTGAACCCCTTTGCCTCTGGTGGACGAACTCTCAGCTGCTCCCTGGGAAACCTGGCAAAGGCTGAAGACTGGCTGTTTCACCAGTACAAAAAGTTTCAAGACACACCATGGACACTGGGGGGACATACTCCATCCCTTGCACTGGAGCTGCCATCAAGTGGGGAGGAGGAGAGAGTACCAGGGGTCATGCTGGGACGCTGTCTGGAAGGCCTGGGGATGGCCTTTCTAACCTATGCCCTCATACCCGAGGACCCACAGGTGCAGAGACAGCCACAGCAAAGTGGGGCGGCAGCAGTGTGCAGTGGCCAGCTCCCACGCCCTTAGCTGTGCCCCGGGATAGTCCTGCATTTAGGCCTCATGTGGGCTGCAGGCTCCCCCACATAAAGTGGGGCTCATGGGTCCCTACAGGATAGCCAAAGAACTTTGCTAGGCTAAAAAGAAGCAAACAACGCTGCCACTGATGCCTGAGTGACAGGATGATGACAGGGTCTTGTCAGGAGCCAGCAGGAAGGATTTCACTTACTGTGGTGTTTTTTGTTATTAAATCAAAACATCAGAGATATAAATGAGAAGGCCTGGACACTATCCACTCCAGGTAGAGCACGCTGGGCCACGGTAGGCACTGTGGTAGCCTCGATTCCCTGGCATACAGGTGGCGTTCAGTAAATGCCACTGCCCTGTGATAATTGGCAGTTACTCGCAGGCTGCCTATCACCCCAAAGCCTGCTGTTCTTGCCCACAACCAAGGTGTCTGGGGAGGCAGCCCAATGTTGCACACATGCGTCTGTATGTGCTGCCCTCCCTGACCTCTCTCCACTGCCCCAGGGAAAGGGGCCCCATCTAGCCCCCAATTGGAATCTGGCTTCTTGGATGCTGCACAGCCGGGGCAGCAGCTTGCCCCTGGTACCAGTGTGGCAAAGGGTAGAAAGGGAGTGTTCGATGAACTTGGGGTGCGCCAAACAGCTCTGACATGGCCCTGTCCCTCCCAGCAGGCCAGGGCCTGGAGCTTGGGATGTACTGTACTCACCTGTGTTGGTCTGCGCTTTCTGCAATTTCAAAAACTGCTGCAAGAAGCTGCCATCGTTGGCAAACTTGTTGGAGATGCAGGAGTTCTGTGTGTCTGCAACTCTAGAAGCCAGAGGAGGACACACGGTGAGCCAGCAGGGAGGCACATAGTGATAACGACTTCCCCCTTGGAGGGCCCTGACTTTGCCTCCCCGTGGCTGGTGCCACAGCAGGCTCTGGCAGGCTAAAAAGAGCAACACTGTATTACTTATGCCTGAACACCATCACTCCAGTCGGAATGGTCCCCTGGACATGACACAATGGCTTTTTCCATTTTGGTGCCAGAGACTCAACCCAGGGCCTACTGAGTCCCACAGCCCCACCTCACAATAAATTTTACATTTCACATCTTATGCCATATTCATATTGTACCATGATAAAAATATTTTTTAAAAATGTAGGTGAAGGGGCTGGTGAGATGGCTCAGTGGTCTAAAGCACCTACTTAGAACAAGCATAGCAAAGCACAGGGACCACGGTTCAATCCCCCAGTACCACATGCCAGCCAGCCCTGCCCCTGGTGGGCTGAGCTGGCCACACACACACACACACACACACACACAAATAAATAAAATTTAAAAAAAAAAATGTAGGTGAAAAGGAGAATACAAGCCTGACTCTAACTTCAACCCCTATTTTTTCCCCCCATTACTGGGATCTTTCTGCCTCAAGCTCCTAGAGTGCTACGATTACAGATACACAGCACCACCCCTTGCTTCTTCAAGTACAAACCCCAAATTTAGGTGCTTTCATTTTCCAAAGCTTTTAGTGCTGACATCTACCCACCCAATATTCCCATGCTGCTGCCCATTCTTGGGGCTGTGGTCCCCCACCCTCTAGGAGACCCTCAGGGAGGCTACCCTGCAGGCCTTTGCCAACTCCAGGGGTGCCAGCACACACAGTCACTCAACAACCAGTGCCAATGTTGTTGAGTACCCTCAGGTGCCAGGCCCTATCCAATCTCACTCTGCCAAGCAGCCACAACCTCTGGAAAAGGTAGAAATTCAAATAGCTGGGGATGTGGCTGAGTAGTGAATACATTAGGCCCTGGGTTCCACCCTCAGTGTAGCACTCCTCCCAAAAAAGATGATAAAACCCCTCTATGCCCTCAACGTCCTCAGGACAGGCAGATAGAAAAATCCGGCTCTGTGATAACCCCTTTCGCATTCACAGGCTCTCAGCTTTTCCTGGTTTGACCTAGGCCTCCTTGTGGCCTGACAGTGGCTGCTGTGCTTCAGGCTACCCTCTACCCTGGAGATATAATGGTACCCCTTTGCTAGCAGCTCCACAGAGCAGAGATGGAATCAATAGTACTTTCTGGGGGTAGAATTCAGGCCTCACAAATGCTAGGCAGGCACTTACCGCTGCACCATCCTCCAACCTGGAGTCTAGGTTTCTGATGTGCGTTGCATGCCTGCCCCTCAACTCACAGCTGGGGGTGGGAAATAACTGTGGAGGCATGAGTTGGTAGGCTGGCTTCCGGCCAATACACACTCATTGTTTCTCTCCCCCACAGTGAGCTTCTTGGGGCCCCTGGTCATTCCAGACACCCTCTATCTGCAGCCAGTTACAAACACGTGCCAAGACTCCAAAGCCAGGACGCTCTGTCCCTGAGCCCGAGAAACAGGCCCAGGAGGTACTCACTCGCCAGGGTGCAGGCGCTGGGGGCTGGCCACCTGACTCTGTTTGGCTTTCTGTTCCATTTTGGCTTCAATCTCCCGTTTCTTCTGAGCAATGAGCTCTTCTTGGTGAAGGATATTCATGTTCATCTTTCCAGATTTGGGGGGAGCAACCCCAAACCATCGGCTGGCCTTTCCTGGTGAGAAGCAACAGATCACGTTAGCGCCACAGACACCCAGGACAGGCCACCCAGCAATTGATGTTCTTTTGGATTCATCCATCCAGCCCTCCATGCAGGCAGCAAATGCCGAGCACCTGCTACCTAGCTGGCCCTGTGGCACTGAGTAACAGAGATGAGGCCTCTGCTCATCCAGAGCTTGTCTCCTGCTGTGGGCACTACAGGCCCAGAACAAGATAAGCACATAAGTAACTGCAAACTGTGGTAAGAACTCTAGCGGAACCACAAAAACGTGAGACTGAGTAATATCAATGGACCTAGACAGCCATGGCTATCAGAAAACAGCCAGCAGAAGAGGACACTCAAGTTGGAACTGGAGTATAAGGAGCTGGCTTCATGATAACCCAAAGCACGAATGTAGAAAGAAGGAGTGGATGCTGAAAGCCCAGGGCTCTGAGGTTGGGCAGGGGCTCAGGGGGCTGAAGCAGGCCTCTCTAGGGCCAGGCAGAGGCAGGGTGAGAGTCTTGATTTCACTTTAAACACTTCTGAGGGAAGAGGATTTAAGCTTTTGCAAGATCCAATGAAACTGTTTATTTTCAAGTTCATTCCAGTGACTAGGCCATCATTCTCAAATTTTGTTTCCAGTGGGCTAGGGAATAAAACCCAAATTCTGGAAAATATTTTTCCAAGCCTTGTTAGAGATGTTTCTTCTCCTTAGCTCTGTTTTATCCATCAAAGGGACAAACATAGTCCACCCCAGGGTCTTTGCAATTGCTGGCACCCCACCTCTGGGGCAGGCTGTCCATCTGGCCTTCCCATAGCTGTAAAAGGCCTTTCCTGCCTCTCCACTCCTCACATCAGCACACACAGCGGTCTCTCTGGTGCCAGTGCACTGCCATCCCAGTTCTAGGACGACAGCCCTGTTTTGGCGCCTGTTGCACACTTGGCGCCTACCACAGTGCCTGGTACACAGCACTCGCTGGCTGGATGAATGCATCCTATCCTGGGGCAGGGGTGTAAAAACAAGATTTGGGGAAAAGTAGATTTAAAAGCCTTGACAACGTGTGCACCGAGCGCTCCAGAACGGTTCAAAAAGGCACCTTGCCCAGATAGCTGAACCCAGGTCAGAAAGCAGCTGCTATAAAGAGGGGCGCAGGTCAGCCCAAGATTGCCGCCCTTTCTAGGGTCGTAGCTCAGAGCGGCCCTGAAGGCAGTTTCTCGGCAAGCGACACAGGGCTGACCCCGCGGGACAGCCTTGGTGTAAAACCCAGCGCCTTCAGCGGACCAGGCGGGAGCGACTGACGAGCTCGGTCTGGGGTCTCAGAAGAGGGAGGTGCAGAAGTCGCCACTACGTGCTGCCTGGGGACCGAGGCGAAGGGTCCGCAGGTCGGGGCTGGACCCAGAGGAAAGCGAAGCCGCGTCACACAGCCAGGAAAACCAAGGCAAGCGCCTGAGAGGAGGCGGGGGCTGTTACCTGCAACATCCCGGTTGTCCATCTTGAGACTCATCCAATCCCACAATGCTTAGGCGCCACCTGGGGGGACCTGTTATAGTGCGCATGGCCTCATGGGAGACGTAGTCCGCATCGGTCACGCACGTCCCGCTGCTGCCAAATACTGGTGAGCTACACCATAAAAAGCAAGCTTCATCCTAATGGATATGTAAAGTCTCGGTCCCGATGACTCAGGGTGTGTGTTATCCTTTCGCCCACCTTTCTTTTTCTGAGGCCAAACATAATTACAGACTACACATCCCAGGATGTCTTTTGGGCCAGATCTCGCGAGAGCCACAAGCGGGCCCGACCCCGCCCCGCGTGCCTGCTTCCGCCTCCCTGTGGAGGCGGCTTGTTGTTGTGGAGGCCAAAATGGCGGCTCAGGCGGCGGCAGCGGCTCAGGCTGCTGCGGCCCAGGCAGCGCAGGCCGAGGCGGCTGAGTCGTGGTACCTGGCACTCCTGGGCTTCGCTGAGCACTTTCGTACTTCCAGTCCGCCCAAGATCCGCCTTTGTGTCCACTGCCTGCAGGCCGTGTTCCCCTTCAAGCCGCCGCAGCGCATCGAGGCCCGCACGCACCTGCAACTCGGATCGGTACTCTACCACCACACGAAGAACAGCGAGCAGGCGCGGAGCCATCTAGAGAAGGCGGTGAGTGAGGCCGGGCCGCGGCGCAGGCGCTGTGGGGGTCTTCCGACGGGCGGGAACCGGGGTGCGGCGTCCCTTGGGCGGCCGGCTCTACGTCCTTCTCTCCCGGCCCGCTGGTCTTGCCCTCCGTCTGTTTCCGTTTCTGGTGACAGTCCGGGCTCCGGGACCTCCCCCTCCTCAGGAGACTGAGAGAGTTGCTGCAGTTTAGGATTCTCAGGGTCCCCAGATCCTCAAGTTCTCAGGAGGACCCCACTCGTTGGTGGCACTGGGCCGTGGGGACACCGCGGAGCGGTCTCTGGACCCCGGAGCCCCGAGAGCGTCCGCGCGAACTCGCCCCCTGAGTGACTCGAGATAGGGGAGGGTCGGGTGACAGTGGCTCGGGATAGGGAAGTCGGGGTGACAGTTGCCCGGGCGGGTGCGTCGTGGCTGCAGTGACTTGGAATAGAGGAGGGTCGGGGGGACAGTGACTCTCAGGATAAGAGAGGGCCACGGTGACACTTCAGGTACCGCCTTTGAAGCTGACATCTGCTTCTCTGGAGACCCAGGAGGGCGTCGCGGGCCACCTTCCCGTAGCCCGGAAGTCTGCACGGTCCGGTGCCCAGCTCAGCGCGGGCATGGGGTGGGAATGGCGAGGCGCAGGCAGAGCACAAAGTTGGGCGTTTGCGGTCTGTGAAGAGGCTGCCAGGGAATCTGGGTCCTGGGACCTGTTGCCCACTGAGGCAGCGGGTGATCCCGAAGCGCCTGCTGTCTCCGCTGGTGACCTTTCCTCCCCGATGCGCTTTGCATGTGCTCCCGCCCTCTGCTTGGCGGGTAATGTCTTGGCCCTTCGAAGACTGGCTGGTATTTTGCACTAATTCAGTACACTTTCTGGGTGTAGAATTGTTTCTTTCTTGGTGCGTGGTACTGCACTACAGCTTTTCACTGAGCTACGCCCTCAGCCCAGCCCTTTTCAGTTTTGAGATGGGGTCTCGTACTGTTGGGGTCAGATTTGTGATCCTCCTACCTCAGGCTTCCACAGTGTTGGGATGACAGTGCCTGTCAGTATGCCTGGCCTGTTTAACCTCACAGCAAAGCTGTGCTGTCAGACTCCACCCTCCTTTTCAAAATTATTATTAATATTATTTTTTAATTTGAGACAAGGTCTGGCTATGTAGCCCTGGCTGGCCTTGAACTCTCAGCAGTCCTCCTGCCTTAGCCTCCTAAGAGTGCTGGGATGACAGTTGTGCACCACCATTCTTGGCCCCAATTTCATACTGATTCAAGGAGAAACTTTTGAAAAGAATGAAGCACATAGTCCAGTGATAGGGCATTTGTCTAGCACATGTCAACTCTAGGGTTCAATCTCTACCTCTGCCAAAAGAAATAAAAGAACTGGGTGTAGTGTCACACTTACAATCCTCTGGAGAGGCTGAGGCAGGATGGCCTCTAAGTTTGAAGCCAGCCTAGTGAGTTGAAGGCCAGCCTAAACTGCACACGCAGCGAGACCCTGTCTCAAAACCGGAAACAAGGCTGGGGATATAGCTCAGAGACACAAGTGCCTGTCTGGCAAGTACAAGGTCCTGAGTTGGATTCCCAATACAAAACAAAACGAAAAAGCTGAGACAAGATTGGGTGTGGTGGTGCGCACCTATAATCCCAGCATTTGGGAGGCTGAAAACGAGAATCACTACAAGTCTGATTTACAAGTGAGACCCTGTAGACCCTGTAAAGCCTGCCCTAAATAAAGGGGGAAAAAAACCTGAAACAGAAAGAGGAAAAGTTAGAAGAGAGCTTTAGTCCTCAAAATCAACTTCCTTGTTTCAAGAAGGGAGGTGGTCTGCTCTCTGAGAGGTGAGGTGATTTACCTAAGGCCATGTAATGAGTTAGGAATAAAAGCTGAATTGGTCTCGCTTTACTGTCGCCTCCTTCCCTGCTAGGGCTCTGTGCTGTTATGGTGAGTTTTTCCTCACTCACTTAGCAGATATTGGTGTTCAGCTCCTGCCAGGGGCCAAGCCTGTTTTGCACACTGTGCTCTGGCTGAAACGTTCTTGGCCTCGGAAATTTATGTTTTAATGAGGGAGACAAGCAAGCTGTGTGTGGGAAAAGGCGAGGAAATGACCTGATAACCCTGTGCGGCTCTGTCCTGCTCAGTGACAGTGGCCATCTCTGGGGGAGCGACACTTGAGTGGTCCAGAATGATGAGGCAGGGTCCCCAGCCCAGTGAAGGGCCCAGGTCAGTGGCCCAGAGAACCTGAGCTGGGGCCATGGCGGGACTCTCCATATGTGGGGTTTTAGAGGCCACAAGCACCAAGCCTGGCCCCAGCACCTCCAAGTGTGTGCTAGATCAAAACCCTTCGCTCCTGCTGGCCCACCTAGCCCAGCGGCTCCCAGCTGGCTTCATACTCATTGTGTGTACTGTTTTGCCCACTCAGCCTTATCTGGGGGATGCAGTCAGGCCTGAAGTTGCTCCCTTAGCTACTTGGCTTTAGGCCCTGTAATTTAACCCCTCATCCTTACAAAGTGCCTTTGCTCAGTGTCGCAGTGTCTCCTCCTTGGTCCTTGGCAGTCCCATCCACCAGCCTGACACTTAGAACCCACTCTCTCAGTTCAGTTGCATCCCCAGCTAGGATCTCTCCTCCCCTCCCCTTCCTTCCCCTGCCCTTCCCTCCCCTCCCCTCTTTTGAGACAGGGTCTCATTGTGCAGTTCAGGTGGGTCTCGAACCCACAGTGGCCCTCCTTTCTCAGCTTCCTGAGTGCTGCTGGATTTACAGGCATGCACCACCATGCTGGACTGCAAACATGCATTTGAAAAACTCTTCTTTCATTCCTTGTACCTAGGGTCTCAGCCATGCTAAGCACATGCTCTACCACTGAACTACACAACACCCACAGCCCCTTCATTCTTTCTCTATTTGTTTTTGGTATATCACCCAGGCCAGTCTCAGAATTGTGGACTCAAGTGATCCTCCAGCTTCAGCCTCACCAAGTAGCTAGGACTACAATGATGTACCACCATGACCAATTCTTCAGTCTTTAATTGTTCATTTTTCTCGGAATACAGCTATCAACTTTCTTCTCCTCTCTGCCAAAGCCACTCAGCAAAGAATCACAGCCAAGCACAATATGTCCCTGTAGTCCCAGATACTCCAGGAGCTGAAGATTTTTCTTGAACCCAGGAATTTGAGGTCACCCTAGGCAATGTAAAGAGATGTTTTCTCTTTAAAAAAAAAAAAAAAATACAGGAGTGGTATAGCACACCTGTAACCACAGCATCCTACTCTAGGAGGCTGAAGCAGGAGGATGACAAGTTTGAGCCCAGCCTGGGCAACTTTGGGACCCAGTGAGACCCTGTCTCCAAATAAAAAAGGGCTAGGGAAGGAGCTTAGTCCAAAGGCCCTGGGGTCATCCCCAGTAAAGAGGGGGCATAAGGGCTTCTCATGGAGGGGGTCTACTGGTTTCTGGTTCTGTATAGCTCAGCAACATGGTGCCTGTTGGGCAAGTATAAGGTCCTGAGTTCAATTTCTGGTACCTAAAAAAAAAATAAACTAAAAAAAAGGAGCTTCCTTTTTTTTTTTTTTTTCAGGGTAGCAAAAGAACAACAATTTTTTATTTTTATTTTTATTTTTTGGTGGAACCAGGGATTGAACTCAGACCCTTGTGCTTGCCAAGGAAGCACTTATTCCACTGAGCCATCTCCCCGGCTCTGAGAATATTTTGAAAAGATAAGTGGCTTTCATTCTTTTTTTTTTTTTTTTTTTTTTTTAATGAGCAGAATATATTTATTGAGGGAAAGAAAGCTCCTGTCTGACAGACAAGAGGGGGCCCAAGTGGGTAGTTCCCTCAATCTTTTTTTTCTGTTTTCTCGTGATCATGTTCTGCTGTTCTTTAGTGGATGAATTTTTCTCTTGTTATAAGTACTTAAAGGGCAGGAGCAGGAGACTGCAGTTTGATCCTGGAACCACATTTCACGCCAGCCCTGCCCTCAGCGTAGGCTGGGCGGGGAGTACTTAAAAGAACTTGTAAGTGCTAAATAAATCGTTAGGCTTTGAAATTAGTACTGCAACCCTGTAGACCCTGTACTAAATACATTTTTAAAACTTAGTAATAATGATCTGCTGTGCTCTTTACCGTCTGCTAAGATTAAATGGGTTTTTTTTTTAACATTTATTTATTAGGGCTGGAGAGATGGCTCAGTGGTCTAAAGCACCTACTTGAAACAAGCTTGGCAAAGCACAGGGACCGCGGTTCGATCC